TCAAGTGATGCACCTGCTCCTGCCATGGTTGCCCTAAAGGGGAAGGGTCGTGGTCGTGGCCGCTCTTCTTTGCCAAAGGCAGGCAGAGCAAGCAAGAGCAAAGTCAAGCCCAAGCCGAAGAGCGGCTAGGTGACAACCCCGGCACGTGGAAGCTGACAAAGTACATTCAGTTGGAGAAAGTTATACAATATTAATAAACCATCTGTTCATGAGTGGGGGCAGTACCCAAGTGAAACCCTTGTAGAGCATGAACTGCCTGCTTTCTAGCAGACCTTTCAGGAAGAAGTAGCCCAGTTGACCCCATTTTAGCCTCAAAGCTCCCTGAAATCCAGCCTTGTATGATTGCCTTTGCACCCTTCTTCTGTCCCTTAGGTTCCTTTAAGTGATTTCAATTGCTTTTATGTTCCTTTACATTGCCTTTATTGTCCTTTATGTTCCTTTAAGTTCTTTTTGATGACGTTTAAGTTCCTTTAGGTACTGCTTATCTTTTTCCCTCACCCAGCCTGTCTGGAGTAACTCCCCTAGCCTCCCCTCATAACGATCTCATGACATTAAAGCTCGCAGGTGTGATCTCTCACGATGAGGTCGGTGTAGCGCTCTCAGCACTCCGGCCGCGTGTCGAGACAAGCGTCCCACCGGTGCTTACGCATGCGCTTGATATGTTCCTTTACGGAACCTTTCCTAGCAATCCAATGGCCGCAGAATCCGCAATTGGCCTGGAGGAGTGGTGCCCATCTTGCAAGGTTCGAGAGGGGGGCAGGTGCTTTTCCTAAGACCGTTTGTGCGCTCGATCGTCTAAAGAGGGGGAGATCCTGATTTGCCTCAACCTCCGCTGTGTTTCTCGGATGGGATCAGGGAGCTCGTGGTCGGACGATGATTTCCGAAAAAGGGCCAGGATCAGGTTGGGTCGGTGGCTGAGGCTGTGGCGAGACAGCCGTGCTGGCTTGCTCTACATGGTCATCCAGGACGCGCGGCCGACATGCATATGTGAGGATGCGTTGCCTCAACGCTCCCGGGGTCTGCATGTACTTTCTGCAGCGCCTGCATTGCGGCATACCGTCAACGCTGTGCTCATGCTGCTGGTAATTCTTCTCCTCCTCGGGATCGACCTGTACCAGTACTTTACGCCGTGCTCTATGCTGCCGCATCGTCTTTGTTCATAAGAAGTAAAGCCCACATATGTTGCATGGTACCCCAGCCGTGACGTCAGTATAGCTGTTCGTGATGTCGGGTTCGAACTGCTGGAGTTTGGCAAGCTTCCGTTCAACAGCTCTGGCCAGTGCATCTACGGGGTCCAATACTCCGTATCTCAAACGTAGTTCGGAGTTGCTCTCGTGGGTAATATGAGCCGGCGCGTTCAACCATTGTCTGAGCATGGTTGCCGAGGCTTGGCTCAGGCCCACCGGGGCAATGCCAAAGAGGGCGCTGGAGACCGAACAGGTTCGCAAGGAGATGGGATCGTCGTCATTCATTCTCACGCTTGAGTCGAGTCGAGTATTCAGCGGGCGCTACGCGCTCATATCATGACATGAGAGCGGCCATTACAGCGCGCCAGACAACTACCCTGCTGCTATCCCGAGCAGCGGTCGATTATTGCGACACGGTGTAGAAAGCTAAGTACCATGTCCTCATCACCTCTTGCACGTCGACGAGCTTTGCCCGCACGGCTGAGGTCTCATCATGCTGCACATAAAGGGCCGGATGATTGGCTCCCTGTGTGAGCTTTGCACGCAGCGCTTGCGCGAAGGCCTGCTGTGGCTCATTACTTGGGGCCGTTGCTCCGAAGGTTTTGTAATGACCTGAGTCAGGTATGACCGATGTGATACACAGCGGAACGAAAGTCGTAGGCAGCAGGCTGGGCGTCAACGCCATCTCGGAAACAGGCAACCTGCAGTCTGGCTGGCTGAACGATGGATTCCAACTTGCTGATTTCACCCATACGGTTTCTTTCAAACCTGAGAATTTGCACGCTTAACAACTGCGGTGGTTCCGCGAGTGCATTGATGTGGCCAGTGTCCTGTTCATATGCCCAATCCTCCATCAGCTGTTGCATAGCTGAGGCTCCGACGTAATACATCCGAGTTCAGATAGCACAGGTTGTTGGGATTGGCGAGAGCCAGGGAGGGATGGGGGAGAAGAGGGGTAGCTCTGTCTCTTGCCTGTGCATCCGATCCCCCTTTTCCGCTACTTGGGATTTGCGTTGGGCCGATCTCGGCTCCCCCTTACCATTTTTCGCAATCATAGATCCTCGTCCTGCAGCATCTGCAAGAGGTCTTTGGGAAGGGGTCGATGGCTTCTTTCCGGTCGCAGTCTTGCTCCTATCAATCTGAGCGCTGCTCAGTCCGACAGATTCCGCTCAGGGCCTTCCAGCGAGAGCGTGAGCTTGAACATGGTGACCTTGTCCTTGTCCGTCGACATGCCCCCCCGTTGCGTGGAATGCGTGAATCACCCCATCCTTGCCCATGTGTTCCGTCAGCATCTGAGCCGCTTTGATGGCCCGATCGTGCGGTAGTGGCGCCGCATCCGTTGCCTCGTAACTTTGCTTGTCCTGGTTCCATCTCATGTAGTTCCAGCCGAGAGGCTTTTGGTGGAGAGTAGCTTGACCTTGAATAGAATTTGTTGAGCCGTTTGGTCGGCACTCAGCTTCTGCATTCTGGCCACCGCCTCCATTAGCAGCGCGCCCATCAAGGCTTGCCTGAGGCCACAGTTGCATGTGCCATGGGCGCGACTCTTCTCCCAGCTGGCAGTTGTTAGCATGAGCTGCGGAATGATGCCCACCTCGCCCGGGTCGACAAAGATTATCCAGCTCCTGTTTGCTTCGAGCATTTGGAGGGCCGTTTCATGCCTGGCCACTATGCGCCAGTTGCTGTAGCTGATGATTGGGCCGGGGCCGACCGCGGCTCCCGGGTTTCTTGTTTGTTCTGCCTTTCGTTTGCCCTTCCTGCTTGGGGAACTTTTTGGTTGGTCTTGAACCAGCTCCTCTTCCGATGATACCGCCAGCGGGGATGTCGCTCCCCACAGGCGCGCCACTTCGTTGGAGGAGGGGCAAGCAATTCTGAGTATGTAGCTGCGGGGTTTTTGTGAAATTCATTCTGCAAAACCTACACGGTCTGGAGATCTGAATACTGGAGGCTTTACTGGATATCTTCTTCTCAGCTTCGTGCCAGGCCGCTGCGTGTTCCTTCTTCATGCGCCTTCTCCAATCCAGTTGATTGGTCAGCTGCTTGGCACACAGGCAGCAGTTCCGCTTTAAGAACCTGAGTTCAGCCGTGTCTGAGTTCTCGGCATCCATGATACTCGCGCTCAACACAAAGCTGCACCCCGTCAGCCGTGAAGTCTTCACACCGCACGTTTAGGGTTCTGGGTTGTTCAGGGCCGCCAGCTTTAACCCAGGCAGTAGCAGCTGCGACCTGGAAGAGCACTACGCAGTTCCTTATGTGTCTACGCATGACGAGATCGGTGTAGTGCTCACAACACTCCTGCAGCGTGTCGACCACCCCCACCCCACACCCGTCACCCCGCACCCCCCGACACCGCACCCCACACCCCCAACCCGCACCCCCCACCCCGCACCCGATCCGCACAACATCCAGCACCACACACAGGCGCTTACGCATGCGCTTGTACGGAACCTTTCCTGGCAATCCAGCGCCGACAGTTGGCCTGGAGGAGTGGTGCCGAGACTGCAAGGGTCGTGAGAGAAGCAGGCGCCGTTCTTAGGGCTGCGCGTGCTTGGTGTTCTAAAGAGGGGCAGATCCTGATTGCCCTCTACCCCTGCTGCAACCTCACGTGGGGCCAGGGAGCTCTTGGTCGAGCAAACCGTTAGTCCTACTTGGGTCACTAGGATCACCTAGAGAGCAGTCCAGATCAGGTTGGGTCGGCAGCTGTGGCCTTTTCATGACTGGCTCAACAGGATCAGTTTGGAGGCGCGGCCGACATGCATATGTGAGTATATGTTGTTTCAACGCTTCCCTTGTCTGCATGTACTTGCCGCAATGCTTGGGAGATGCGATCTGCGATGTTGGCCTCAGACGGACGTCACTCTAAAAAAGGTCGGACGCCAGCCTCGCCTTGCCGCCATGGCTGGCGGTCTGGAACCCGATCTTTGACCGCGTACTGCCAGGCGGCAAAAGTCCAGGCGTGATGTCTTGTAAGGGCGGAGGGCCTCAAGGGCGCACACCACCCCTGGACGTCTGGCTTCCGCCTTCTCAGCAACGGTGGTTGGGGTCGTCGATGGGTGCTGCCCCGCTGGATCCCGTATCATTGGTGGCGCAGTGAGCCGTCATGGATACTAGGGCTGAAAACGGGGCGTTTGCTCCCGGTACCGCCCGTGGTGGCGGGACCGCACATGGCAGGGCCGGTGCTTGTGCCTTCCTACCAGGATGCGAGGAGCGATTGGAAAAGGGCAAAGATCATGAATGTTTCCATGTTTGACACGCCCACCTGCAGGTGCAGGAATGGGTCTGGCGATGCGGCGGTGTTGCCCTCCAAGGCAGTAGACGCCACTGTTGGCGGTGAAGTCGGAGTAGTTGTAGGCGGTTTGCACGCTGCATTATAGCGTCGGCGGCCGCAGCAGTATTCGGCGGTCCATGACCTCCAGCGTAGCCTCGGCCTCGGAGTTGTTGAGGTTGTCCGCTGGGTCCAGGCCGCAGAGCTCCCACCGCCTGCTCCTCCCAGGACCATCTCATCGCAGAGGCGATCGGTGTCTCCATGTTGTTGAGCACCTGCCGAAAGCGTTTGAACTCCCGCTACGAGAGCTGGGAGAATAATGCCAGTTGGACTGCGGTGTCATCCACCCCAGTGAGGCGGCAAAGCACAAGCACGGAGGAAGACGGTGCTGCCATGGTCAAGGCGGTGGCGGTGTCAGGAGGGCAAACAGAAAAAGGCGGTTTGAGCAAGCGGCTATGGGTGCATGCTGGCTTACTGCTTACTCAATGTTACAACGCACACACGTGTGCTATCGGAGAAGATGAGCTCAAAAAAAAAGGGGAAAAGGCTGCCTCGAGCACGTGGATGCTGCCACTCTTGGTGCCTGCACTGGTTGCACGTGCTGCAGGTCCGGACTCTGCACAGTGCGGTGTATTTTGCAAGGCGCACACCTGCCAAGAGGAACAGGCCCGTGTCGTCAAACTTCAAGGCACGAACCTCTGTCTCTACCTGCACGAGAGACGAGACATAGAAAGGAGTGAGTCAGCAGGCCAAAAGGCAGTGAGTCAGTCGAAATAGAAGGTGTGAAAATATGCGAAAGCATGGGAAGGCGGAGGAAGACTTGGCCTTCAGCTTTTGGAGCACCATGCCGTTAGTGACCTAAAAGACCGTTGCATGTCATTGCCGCAGTTCCCAACCCTTGGGCACGCACATTGACCAGACGCAGCACAGCATTGGAGTTGGCAGCCACGAAGACCTCAGCATTCCAAATCTGGCGTTAGCTGCTGAGCACTCAATCCCGCGCCTGGGGGTTGAAGGGAAGGAAGGCTGCAACAGGCACAGGCCTCAGTTGAACGAAACGTCTTGCCTTCAATGTTTACAGCACTGAGGGTCGCACGAGCTGTCAGTGAAGACCTTGAGCATCTCCCCACTCTCAATACTCCAAAACCGCACTGACCTCAGCGTTTCTCTGCAACGACAGCGGCTCTGCTTACGAGCTTCGCTGGCAGAAGTCAGCGCTTCTTCCAAAGGATCAGATTAACACTCCGGGAATAAACCATTCGCCAACGCGTGCCAACGTTTGCCAACATTTGCCAAAGTGCTTGTCGATGGAGGTGGTCACGAGTTGATCCTCCAAGAGATTGAAAAAAATCGACGTGATGGCGCCTGAGCTCCGCTTCGGGGCTCGATTCCAAGGAGCATCTCTTAAAATGTTTTGAGTGAGTCTGAGGTTCGCACGAGAATGGCCCACCAGTCTCGAGTGCACGGCGATGTTGGAATGATCCTCACGGTGAACACCAGGACGAGCTCAGATGCAAAAAGAACATGTTAGCCAAGCGACGGCTGGAGGATAGGAGTAGGTGCTGTCATCGGTTGGAAAATCTTGATCCGACAGCATGGCCTCACAAGTTATTTAGGTCTCATCGCATCAACCCCTACAACTTCACGAGACCATTGCAATTTCCATCTCCGTGCGATAGCAGCGATAGACCACCACCGTTCCGTCCTGTCGGGCATCCAAGACGCAGAGACACAGATTTTGACACAAGCTTAAGGAGGGGCCTTGGAAGCCGTGGCCAGTAGCACGTATGCCTATGGCAACACAGATTCCTCCGCATGGGACCTTTGAGGGTCTGACTTCAAGGCGGCCTTGTGCAAACGCTCTTGACCGAAGCAGATGCATGTCACAGCCTTTCAAAACACAGAATAGTGTCAGTGTTGCTTCACAACTTCTTTTGCTGCCGGGCTCATGGCAGAGTCTGAATCCTGTAGCTCCTGACGCGACGAGTGCGTTGCGAACATGAGATCAGGATGCTTCAAAACGTTCAAAACGCCCTCAGCTTATTTTGCTTTACCGTGCCAAGCCGGTGCCAAGCTGCCTGAACGGGGCGAAGGTCTACGTTGGGGTCGCCATCCTTCCGGGCCTCAGCTGTGACATCTTCATGGCCGCTGTAGCGGACTGCAACGGCTCAACGGTCTCTCCAATTGTGTTGCTTCCTGGCCTGCTTCATGGCCTTTGTCCCCTTCAAGGACGGCCTCCAAGCAAAAGCAAAGTGGCAAAGGCTTCCCCAACACTTTCCTAGTGCCGTCCAAAGAATGGTGCCTCAAAACACCCTGGCTGCCCTTGCCAGTTCGCTCACCACCGAACCAGGACTTCACGGAGTCGATCGCTGAAGAGATTGCACCTGAGAGAACCCAGGTTCATAATCTCATAGCGGCTGCGGAGACCTCACTCGACATAGGTTTATCTCATGCAGATAACTTGTTTCAGACCCGGGCTTCGCTTGCCATCAGGAGAGATGGGCTCCAGGTTCTGAGCAATCAAAGGAATCTCGGGGCTCGAGGCGGGGAACATCCAACCCGGGCCGGGGCCTGGCTTTCCAACATCTCCTACAACATCTCTGCTTAAGAAAACAGAGAGGCACACCAAAGCACAGTGCACTGCACTGCTCTCTGTTTCCAGCCGTGCCTCGCTGTTGAGGGCCAGTTGGACGGCCTCCATCAGCAAGGAGCTTTCCATGGCCACGCCTCGCTGGTTTGCTCTTATCTCTCTCCATCTCTCGTGCTTGGCCCACATCTTGGAGGAGGGTCCGCTGCAAATGTTCCTCTTTTCTTCTTGAGTTTTGCGCCTTCGGCTCGCACCGCAGCGTCTTTGGCAGCGGCTACGTCCACCTTTCATCACCAGGACCCTCCTTGTACCCTTAAATTGGGATATATGGTCCCTAATAGTGGGTACTTAGGCCCTAATAGAGGGTAGGAGGAGGGTCTAGGCAATTGGAAATGGCACATTCCTGCTCGGAGGAAAGATGACATAGCAGTCCATCCTCGCCTCGATCTGAGCACCTTTGTCCACGTTGTACCTCCGATTTGCGATTTGCTTTGCTAGTTAGATAGCCTGGGTTCTGGGAAATGCCTCAGGATATCCGCCAGCTTCGCAGAAACTGAAAACAACAACATCAGTCTGCCCGTTACACCGTACATGCCAGCATATGCCAGCACTTTAGACTCTGGAGCTGACCATCTGTGCATCTGTGCGCGGCGAAGGGCACTTGTTGCCAAAGAGAAGCGGCCTCGCGCCCGATGCCTGCACCTCGCGGTAGCGCTTCCAATTAAAGCCCCCTACCTCCCTTCCCTTCCCCACAATGTGCCTCACCGGCCCGCCTCGTGGGTGAGGGAGACTGCGTAGTCCAGGCTCTCTTTCTTTGACCTCTGCAAGGCGGCAGTCTTGTGCTTAGCCTCCTCTTTTCTTCTCATCCAAGTGGCAGGTCGTAGACAATGAAAACCCAAGTTGATCGTGCAAAACGCTCTTTGACCAGATGCGCAGCCTTGGCTGAAATCCCAAGGCCAATTGCCAGGGCTCATGGCTCCTCCCGACAATTGGCACGTCCAAGTAGCGCGGGCGTTGCCCGAGCAGTCCAACATTTTCACTGGCTTGTCTCCGACCTGTGGCAAAGCTGGCAAAGCACAAAGTTCGTATCTTGGCCACCTCAACACGCAGCCAAGCCTGGATTTGGTGGTGTGCCATGAAATTCGATTTCTGCTCATTGAACTTTGGCAGCTGCTCTGGGTCCTGGTCAGTTCAGGCTTGTGTGCTGTCTGAACTCATTGAATGCGCAACTTCTTGCTCAGCTTCGAACATGCTCGGCGATGAGGGCTTCCAGCAAGGACGTCTTCCCAGAGTTCTGGGCGCCCGCCAGTTGGATGAAGACATTGCGCTGGCCAGTTTGGCGCCTGCAGTTTGCTCGTTTTGTCTGCACCCGCTCTGGAGCTCGCATCCTCGCCTGGGTGCTGCGGCTGCCTTCGGGGCGCTTGGCAAGCCTGAGATTGACCTTGGAGCACTTTGACAAATCCCAATGCTCTCATATGACACAAATCCATCAGGATCCGGCTGCATTGCCGTGCTTTTAAGAAGCTGTTGATACCGGCCTCAGACGCAGCTTCATCATGACACTATGCGTGGCTAACTGGGCAAAAAGGCCCAGACTTTCGGCATCCTGCAATTGATCCTCGCCGAAAGCGGAAAGCAGAAAGAGCTGGCCTTTCCCTTTCCCATCTTGTCCGAGTCCTGCTGCTTGGCAGACGCCTCTTTCATGGATGTCAGCTCTTCCTTCACCTGGAGCAGAGAAACTGCTGTGTTCATCGCCGACTTGGCAGGACCGTAGAGATGTGCCTGAGAAATTTGGGTGTTCTTGTCCTCAAGCGCTTCCTCCTGAAGGTCAACATGAAGAGCCGACATAGACCGTGTGTGGCCACTGAGCTTGTGGCCAGCTTCTTGAGGCCTGGTCAAGAAAGGAAAAAACAAAAAATCGTCTTTGACGAAAAAAAGGGGCCCCAACTCTCAGTCTCGACAACCATCTTGGAGTTCTCCGCAGCCAACTTGGCCGCCTCCTCCGCCTGCGCGCGCACCTCGCAGCTTTACGCGCTTTGGATGTCCGCACCCTTGGAACCCCTGAGACCCCTGAGACCTCATCCATCTGGGATTTCATCTTTTCAAGGGCATCCTCCAGCTCCCTGACCTTTTTCAGCATCGCTACTTCTATCGTGGTCTGAGCTGCAAATCTAAATCTGAGGCCGCAAACCCTGGTCTGAAGGCTTTTCCTTATGGCTTATGGCAACTGCACGCACCGGTTTGCTCATTTTCCATCTGAGCACGCAGCTTCTCGGACTGCAGCTGCAGCTGGACAGCTTCCAGCCTCAGAGGATTTTTCAGACCGGCACATGGGTAGAAGCGGGTTCGCCACTTGCAACATCCCGAAAGTCAAGCACTCATCGTTCCTCTTCCTCAGGTTCGTCGCTTGCTCCTGGAGAAAGTCCACCAAAGTGCTTCGGCAAGGCGAAACGGTTCTTTCGTCGCTGCGAGCCTGAGCCTTCTGGCTCTTGGCCATCAGCCTCTGAAACACTTGAACTTGCTCTATCTAAACTCACTCACTTCATCTCCATTTCTCTCCATTCCGCTTGAGGCTCAGCCGGGGCCCGAACGCTCCAACCTGTCCAAGTGCAGGGAAGCGCAGGGAAGCGCAGGAAAAGAGGACTGACACGATCGCTGACGAGGTCAAAGACAGGGTGCCAACAGGGCCGCTTCGGCCTCTTTCGCCTCCTGCTTTAACTTCTTCATCTGTGTCTTTGCCTCAGCATTTTTCGTGGAGCGTTCGGAGTTTAGGGCTCAGTTGAGGGCCGAGGTGCTGCATGCACACGTAGGCGTTCCTGACAAAGCCACACTTCCATCGCCACACGCTGCCCATCGTTTCCCCCCTTTCCCTCACGAGCCTGCGCCGCGTAGACAGCTTGGCGGAAGAGTTTGTAGACTCGCTGCCTCAGGAATCTTCCAACTGGAGTGGAGCTGCGTTGTAGGGAAAGAGGTCTCCAACACCTTCCAACGCTTCCAGTTCCGTTGGATGCGCGTCGCAGAGGTGACCTTCTTGTACTCCTCAAATCAGAGAAGCTGTCAGATCCGAAAAGCTGCCTTTGCAAAGGTCGTTCTCGTTCTGCCCCCGCCCGTGCTCCTTGGCATAGCGCCGGCCTCGGATGCCTTGGGCCAAGAGGCATAGATTGGGGTCTGAGACTACGCGGAAGACAGATCTGCGCCTTTTCGCCAAGCCTGGATTCTGACAACCTGCTGGAAGAGTTGCGTACAACACGCCATGAGACGTATGAGAAACTGGTACCAAATCCTCTGATAGCCTTCTTCAGCAGAGCCTTGTATCTTCGTCGCTCCTTGGTGTGGGTGCGGAACAGGCAGATACAGACATAGAATCTGCACATGAAGCTCATCAAACGAAACGGTGCCAAGGATCCACGTATTGCCGTCCAAGGCTTTGAATCTTCACTGCTGCGCCTTCCTGCCTCGGGTGAAAAAAAATGAGTCCATGGCCATGAGGAGAGCAGTTCTCACATGTTCTCACTAGATCTGAGCAGGGAAGCTTCCGCCGCATCAAGTCACTGCGCGCTTGCTTGCCACCTGGGTTCTCAGCTTTCATGCTCTGTTTTGGCGCTTTGCTGAGCTGGAACAAGGCCAAGCTGCGCAACAAGGCTTGGATGTGTCGAGTGAAGAGACAAATTGCCTGCTGGCAGGTGGACTCAGAACACAGCATCGTGCGCAGCATCACAGCACATCACAGCACATCAGAGCACCTTGTACTTGCCCATCTGCACACGACGGCGCCAGGCAGCCTCTATGGAGCGAACAGAAGCAATATGGGCCCCAAGCTCTGCGGCAGGTTCTGCGCAAACTGTCCTGGATCTGCGTGGCAGACTTCACGAGCAGCTCCAAGCGGGCAAACCTTGGAAAGACTGGGGGCGGCTCCTCTTCCCTTGAAGCTCGCAGGCTGCGCAGGCTGCGCAGGCTTCGCATGCTTAGCTTGCAGCTTCAGCCGCTCAAAAGCGGGAAGCTTAAAGAAAACCAGTGTCTTCCCCACCGCCATGGGGAGGCCTCATGGCCACAAAGAATGCAAGCAAGCAGAGTTTGAACCTACACATCGCAAGTAAGAAAAACTAAAGCGCAACAGATTACGCGTTGCATCATAGATGGGGAGTGCGCCAAAGGCGCAACTCGGCCATACTCCTCATGGCCGAGCTCCAGTCGATCAGTGTCCGTTTGACGCGTTGGGGCAATGCGGCGCCCCGCACCAAAGTGGGCATCGTCAAAAAATCTCAGTTTGGGCCATTTCAAAACCTGAAACCGCCCGGCTAGTGTCAGTCGTCAGGCATGGTTGGTTTTGCTGTCAGAGTGCTTTGCGGCTTGTCATAGGAAGCGTTGCTGGACTGGCTCCGGGGACCTGTCGATGTTGAGTGGGACTTGCCGTTAATCCTGCTCCTCTGCATGCTGCTGCGTTTGCGTTGATCCGTAGGTTGCATTTGCATGATCTCAGGGCTGTGTTGCAAAACCTCCAAAAAGCAAAGGACCAGCTGCGAGCTCAGGCTAAAGCCCGCAGAGATCATCGCCTTGCTGGTTGGAAGCATGAAGTCAACGCTGATCTTAAGTTTGTTGGTCGGCAACCGCTGGTGTCGAATTGCTCACGCTATGGTCTCAGTTGTGCGGCTGCTGTTCGCCAGCTGCTGGGTACTAGAACCATTCTTGAACGGTTGAAGAAGTTCCCTTTGTGCGTACAATCAAAGAGTCAATGCATAGCCATCACAGCAGTTGTTGCATGCAGTACATGTGCAGAATCTTCTGCACACATGTAGAAAATCTTCCATGTGTACACTTGCAGGGACCCCGCAATCTTTCACCATCAGGGGCCCCTTGAGCCACCACAGGTTCGACACGCGTTGTATGAAAAACAGGAATGACCGCTACGTTCGCATCTTGGAGGCGGTGGACTCAGTGTGCTACTGCCAGGGTGGTTGCTACCCAAATTTTTAGCGGAGCCTGCGGGCTCCAGGTGTGGAAGGCATGCCTCCGAAGAAAGCCAACTGTGAGCACCTGCAGGCTCTAACTGATCAAGGTGGGCGGCTCCTCAAGCAGATGGCTTGACTCAGAAAACCTACAGGTCCTATCGTCGACGCTTGGAGCTGTTCCTCAGACAGTCTGCCAGACGTGGTCCGAATGTTGCTATCGAGGGCGCCTTTCTAACGCTTTCTTTGCGGACGCTGCCGAGCAGCTCAGTCTTGAAGAGATCGAGAGCCACACTGATCCACTCAGATCTCAAGACTTATTTGGGCCCAAGCGCGCTACAGGAATCGCATCTGTCTGCTATGCACAAGTAGCTGCTAAAAACTCCACTCCGCTCACGTTCTTGGCTCATCGGCCGCAATCATTGCAGCACTGCATGTGGCGAACCCGAACGTTACGGATGTCTAGCGTACAAAGTTGCACCATTAGGGTCAGTCCCTTGGTACTGCAAAAGATCTCTGTTCAGACGACCTATCGTGTCGGTATGCTCATCATGCAAGCCTCTCAGCACACGAAGTTCGGCGCGGAGAGCAGCTTCGTTCTCGGTCATCTGCTTGATCTTTCCCTCGAGAGACTCGATGTGCTCTAGAGCCCAGTTCGAAACCACCATGGCCTCATCGTCGACGTGCCGGAAGGAGACAGCATCGTAGGGAGACTGAGGTCTAGGAGGTGGTCCTTCAGCTTGCACATAGGCATCAGAAGCATCAGGACGGGCATCTTCGTCACCGGAGTCCAGGTTGGCTGAGTCCACATCCATAGGAGAAGGATCCTCTGAGCTTTCCACCTCCATTGGATCATCCTGTGCTCGCTGCGGGCAAAGACGTTGCCACCAGTAGCGAACAAACCCGAAGACCAACCACTCGGTAGCCAGCACCAACGCCACAAAGGTGAGCAGGGACTTGTTGTCGTCGCTCTCGTCGAGAGAAACCGTAGACAACGTGGTCGTAGTGGTAGTAGGCACCGAGGTCGAAGTCGTAGTAGCTGAGGCCGTGGAGCTTGTCAAAGTACACGTCGCCAACCAGAGGTAGCAGGTAGCCCTCGATGAAGATGGCCGGAAAGAGCACCACAAGGACGAAGCCAGAGCGCACACTTCGCGAATCAACTCTTTGTCAGTAAGATCAAGATGATGTTCCTCAACACCTCGTTGAAGAAGGAAACTGTCCCAGATGACAAAAGCTGCATCATCGGAGGAGCCAGCATGCTCTTGGTGAGGGCATCTGCTGTCATCGATGCCGTGGGAACCACAATCCGATCCAGCGCAGACGTTGAGACATCCGAGCCTCGCGCAAGGCCAAGATATACAACCTCTGGCCCTTGTCCTGGCTGATGCCTCGCTCCCCGGACACCAGTTCGTACAGGTCGCGGCAGTCGCCAAAGTCGTCGACGGGCAGTTCTCGAACTCCTCGTTCCTGAACCGCGAGCAGAGAGTGTATGCTCGGCTTCGCCACACACAGGAGCTCAGCCAGGCGCACTGTCACCAAGGAAGCAGCCTCGAGGCCGGATATGGCCGCAAGCGTTTCAGCGTGGCTGGTCGAATACGAAACTCGCTTCGCCTTCGCACCATGAGCCCACAGCACGTGAACCTTGCCGCCCAGGAGTCGCGTCTGGTCGTTGTTGAGGACGTGCTCGTACTCGGTGAAGCCCTGAAGGTGATCCTCAGCGAGTAGAATGAGGATGCCTTCTTGCGCGTACTGACGAGTGCTGCCAGCAGCAGAGCTGTCATGTATGCACATGACTCGAAGAGAGCCGCGCAACTTTCTGAAGTGCAACCCTAGATTGGGTTCAACGGATTGAGCACGCTTAATGACATTATTGGCCTGCCGAAGATGCGTCACTTTTGCACGGGTCACTTGCGTCTGCAACAGGCACACATCTGCGACAAGATCAAGACGAGTGGCAGTAAGCCAGAGCAATCCTCCAAGTATGGACCGGAACGAAGTGACCTCTTCCGGTGCAAGATCGTCCTGATCCTTGCGTTGCGAAGCAATAGCTGCCGGTTTCAGCTTCTTGCAGAAATCGTCTTGAGTCATCAAGAATCCCTCAGGAGTCTTGGAGTACTGGACCCCACAGCGCACGAAGGGGAGTTGCTGCCTGGTAACCTTGCCAAACTTCTTGACCAAGAGTTGGTGCTGCTTCGCGAGCCATTCGTTCTTCGCACCTGCACCGCAGTCGTCCACACGCGTGGTCACTATGGCCTTGACCTTTGAGCCGTCCTTCCAGTAGAAGAGGTTCTCGTCCAAGAGACTCGGTCGTCCTCCTTGTTCTTCGAAGTGACCGCGCAGGCACAGTTGCCAAGCCAAAGGTGCGTCGTTCAACCCATAGATCGGCTTGAGGCAGTACAGGACGTACTCGTGGACCTTGTCAAGATCAATGCGGAAAGCTGAACTGAAGTTGCCCAGGTGTCTCCACACGTTGGCAGGAGCTATCACAGCAACTCGCCGTATCGGAGTGGCAATGCCCTTGGATTGAAGGATCTCACGAACTCGCTCGAACGATAGACCCTTCAAGAATGCCCCGCTGACATCCCAAGATTCGATCTCCCAATCGAATTTGGCCGCAGTGCTGAGGAGCATTTGTTGAGACAACCGTGTAGCCGTCGTTGAGCGAATCGACAAAAGGTCTTTCTGGCTGTCAAAGCAGCCTCTAGCGCAGAGGCGGCTCTTCACACGCTTGCCTCCAGTCGGCATGGGCTTCCACTTCCGAATCCAAACTGAGTCGATCAAGACTACGTCGTCAGTCAACGAGTTGATGTGCATTTTGCGGAAGCTGCAGGTGTCCACAAATTGCTTGATTTCGGAAGCATCCGACTCCTCGACGAGTGGCCATATGCTGTAGATGTCGCCCTCAGCGATGTTCTCGGAATCGTCATCCACTTTATACACCTCGCCATACATCAGATCGGCAAACACTGCCTCGTACTGCTTGCCAGGCCCGCTGAACAAATGGTTGTGGGTCACGCGCTTCTGCTTAACCTCATTGAACACCCTGCTCATGTAGATGTCCCACTGAGCCATGGCATAGTGGTTATCCGGCGCTTGCCAGCTCATGGGGAACTCAAGAGGGACCTTCTGAGTTCGATGCATGAGCCAGTACAGGTTGATGAGGTTGTGCTGCGCGCGAGTGACCACCTTCTCGGAGAAGAGATGCTCCACCAGGCTTTCCAGCTTGCTCTTTTTAGTCTTGGGGCCAAGTGCGACCATCCGAGCGTCAGGCCCCTTTCGCTTCTCTCCCGAGCTCATAGAAGAAGAGGATGGAGCTGCGTTGTCCACGTCCATGGAGTCATCCAAGGGAGTAGCCGTGGTTGAAGGAGGATCAGACGGCTTGTCCACATCCATGGGTTGAGAGCCATCCACGGCACCTTCGGACGGAACAACCTTTAGCTTGCCGGCTGGCTCATAGCACACGTGGACAGAAGAGCAGCACGCCAGAGGAGCCTTTCGGTGGATGAAGTACTCGAACTCCTTGGCCCAGGATGGCGCCGCCAACATTGTGGTTCGACAGTGCCTTGCCAACAGAGACAATCTTCGACCAGGCTTCGGAGGAAGACAGAGAGCTGGTCGATGCTCGCCGCCAGGAGGTGCAATGCTTCGAGTACTCCAGAATCCAACCAATGGTCACCGGCTTGTAGAGGGAGAGCTTCATGGCAGTCTGCTGAAGCCATTCAAAGTCGGAGGTCTGCTGGTTGTCCATGACCAAGAAGACTCCAGGAGTGTGGGGTCTGATGTGTCGGAGGCTCACCAAGTATGGCCTGCCTTGATACGTGATGATGGCCGTGCCCTCGTCGCAACAACGCCGCAGGTCCACGCCATCCAACATCGCCCTGCACCTCTCGGTAGAAGTCGATGGTCGTAGTGCCGGGGATCAGCGGCTCGTTGCACCATGGAGAGGGAGAGCTGGCGAATGCGAAGAGCCTTCTCGAAGGGGGTGATGTCCGTTTGGAGAGCACCGGCAACCGCAGTGATGTGGTTGCCATCCTCTTGATAAAATGGCCGAGGAAGAACTCCGAAGACAGCCATGGAAAGCGTGGCTCCGTTATA